GATTCCAGTAAAGTAGGCCACAGCCTCATTGCTGATACACTGGAACAATGCAGAACGGATAGTCCACTACTAGATGGATTCATAGTTGGCTGAGCAACCACAGCCAGTGCATGGTCCTTAATGGGTCTGTGTCCACATGGAGGGAAGTGTGCAGGGGGATACCTCAGGATTTGGTCTTGGGCCCAGTACTTTTCAACATCTTCATAAATGACCTAGATAAGGGAATAGAAGGGATACTCATAACATTTGTGGATGACACAAAGCTGGGGGCAATTGCTAACACCTCAGAAGACAAGCTCAAGATTCAAAAGGATGTTGATAGACATGAACATTGGACCCCATCCAACAAATTGCTGTTCAGTGGTGAGAAATGTAAGGTTCTGCACTTAGGCAGGAAAAACCAGATGCACAGGTACAAGAAAGTAGTACTTATGAGAAGGATTAGGTGTCTTGGTAGGTCACAGATTAAGCATGGGCCAGCAAAGTGCCATGGCTCCCAAAACACCCTATGCAGTTTGGGGCTGCATAAATAGAGGTGTAGTGTCAAGATCACAGGAAGTGAGAGTATCGCTCTATGCTACACTGGTCAGATCACACCTAGAATATTGTGTCCAGTTCTGGTTGTCACAATACAATAAGGACACTGAGTAACTGGAAAGAGTGCAGAGGATGGTAAAGATGGTAAGAGGCTTGGAGGTTAAATCCCAAGAAGACCAGTTAAAGAACTTGGTATGTTTAGCCTAAAGAAGAGAAGACTAAGGGGAGACATGAGAGCAATCTTCCAATACATCACAGGGAAGAGAATGTAGATTTATTCTACATAGCACCTGAGGGTAAGGTAAGAACCAGTGGGTGGAAGTTTTATAGTGAGAGATGCAAACTTGAGATAAGGAGGAATTTCCTGACTGTGAGAGCCATTAAGCAATGGGACAGCCTGCCTCCCGAAGTGGTCGGTGTTCCATCATTGGAAGTTAAAAACAAACAAACAAACGATGGCTGGTGTGGGTCTTCCGGGCTGTGTGGCTGTGTTCTTGAAGTTTTGTTTCCTAACATTTCGCCAGCTCCTGTGACCGGCATCTTCAGAGTGCAGAGTGCAGAGTGCAGAGTGCAGAGTGCAGAGTGCAGAGTGCAGAGTGCAGAGTGCAGA